AAAACTTCCAGAACACGGCCACACAGCCCGGAAGACCCACACCAGCCATTGTGTGCCGGCCGTGAAAGCCTTCGACAGTACATAGGAATCTTACTCTATACCTAAAAGTAAACCAAAGAATATATAGCTGTTTTTGGTTCAATTAAGTGTTTATCGCACATCTCTTCAAAGAAAATCAATGCAGCCCATATAGTCAAGCTGCTGTTAATTAATATATATTTTACTATTTCCTATACAAAACCATACTGAATCTGCAAAAAATCTCTCTTCCTCACCCCATAACAACCAAGGCTACTCAGTGAGCTAAATAGCTACCACCTATTACTCTAATCTCATGCCAGCTCACCTTTTTATTGTTTGCATTCATTTTGTAAGATCCTTGCGGCAAGAATCTATAGTTTGTTTACATTTGTACTATACAGTACAATAAAGTACAAATAGTATTGTGCTTTATTGTAAACGGCACTCAAGATTGTTTATCAAACCATAAAATCTCATCAAATTCCAGAAGAAGAAGAAAAAAAGGAGAGTGCCACATAAAGCTAAACCCCAACACCAAAACACAAGTGCAGCAAAACTTGACTCAGATAATAGATTCCTAATATCTATTCTAATTAAATTCAGCAGCCAGATTAAAATGACAGTAGCCTGATGAAACACTGCACATTTTGCCTGGTGATCTAAGTTCCTTTCTGCCAGGGATATGCTATCCTGTTCCATTTCATTTGGTTGCTTAATTTTAAAGTGGTGTAGTGGTTAAGTAAGGCGCCAGGCTAGAAACTGGGAGACTGGAAGTCCTAGTCCTGCCTTAGGCACGAAGCCCGCTGGGTGATCTTGGGCCAGTCACTCCCTCTCAGCCCTGGGAAGGAGGCAAGGGCAAACCACTTCCGAAAAACCTTGCCAAGAAAACCGAAGGGACTAATCCAGGCAGTTGCCAGGAGTCAACACTGACTTGTGGCACACACATGCACTCAAAAAAATTAAAGTGGATTATTTGGTTTAGATTTCATCAGTAGGAATGAATGCAGGATGATGATTGTAAATTACTGCCATATTTATTGCGTTATGTAGCTCTTCCGTCTCAGTTTAGTATGAGATAATTAATCCCATCTAAAGCAGCTTTCTCCAAACCCTTTCCAGATGTGTTGAACTATAATTCCCTGCCAGCAGGACCACTGGATGATCTGAAGTTTCTTGAAATGACATTGTCTTTTTAAAAAGCACTATCCAAATACCCTTTATGCTGAAGACTTGATATTCTTACACTGGAATATCGCTACATCGGAATTGTATACATTTTGCAAAAGAGTCACTGACCCTTCTCTGTTCTGGGTGAAGTAGAAAGCAATGGCTCCCTGACCGCATTTGCCATGAAGGATCCAAGTGGGCGACCAGCAGAAATTAAATATGTCAATGTCCATGTCTCATTTTTAGAAATGTATCAAGTGGTGCCCCCCATTTCTCCCCCCATTTCTCAATCTTGTGATTCTGCTAAGGTCATTTCATAGGAGCGGGAGCGGGAGAGGGAGAGAGAGATGATACATACTGATGAATGTTCCTCAAAATACTCCTACATTTTTGTTTGGAATTTTGCCTAGTGCATTTTTGGTTTTGTAAACCCTTTCCCCTAATGTATTGGCTCAAAAATAAAGAAATGAATAAGGTCACACTTAAGTGCAACTAAGAAAGTGCTGTTTCCAGGTACATCCGGTGGTGTGCTGGAGCTTGCACTGACTCGTGAGAGTCAACTGTTAAATTTTATGGAATTTTGTGAGCGGGTTGAGAACAAAGCTGAGCTCCGTGAACCAATCAGCTGTTTGGCGTCTCACTGCGCAGCGCAGCAGGAGCAGCAGCAATGGAGCTGGCAGAACCAGTTGCTACACCGTGTGCTATATCAGCACCCACCTGGGCATGTCCTTTCTAAAGATGCTTGAACTCCAGGTATAAACTTTTGGCTTCAGATCATGCTTATACAGAAGTGTGGTAAACCAAGGAGAAAAAATAGAAAACTTTAGAACATTTCTTTCCAAACATCCAGATCAAATGTCAGACTTTTCAGTTTGGAAAGTGACAGCAGGGACTCCAGAGTTCTATTACCTTTTCCAAAACAATGCAACCCTGAACCTAACTACTGACCATATATTTTTCCAGCCAACAGATCCTAAACAGGCAGCTATCAGCTATCGAATATAAGTCTTTTTTTTAGCTAAAGCTAGGTTTTTATTATACCAAGTAGGCAAAACTAAGCTAAAGTCACCTGTTGGGGGGAGATGGGTGGCATACAAATTAGATAGACAGACAGACAGACAGACAGACAGACAGACAGATTCTGTTCAGTAGTTATCATTTATAAATGTATAAAATAAATTTTATAATAATTTTATATAAATAGTATATTTAGAGAAAGCCAGGTTGGTGTAGTGGTTAAGGTATCAGGCTAGAAACTGGGAGACCATGAGTTCTAGCCCCGCCTGAGGCATGAAGCCAGCTGGGTGACCTTGGAAGCAGGAGGCAATGGCAAACCACTTTCAAAACCTTGCCAAGAAAATTGCAGGGACTAGTCCAGGTCATTGTCAGGAGTCAAAAACTGACTTAAAGACATATACACACACAAAAAGTATATATAATATTGTATTTATTTATTTATTTTATGCCATAAGGGAATGTAGGAGGAGAGCTGTGTTAGTCTACGGTACCAAAAAATCAGGAGTTTGGTAGTAACTATCATAGCCAACGATTCCTATGATAATGTTGTTTATAATAGATCAGCAGCTTTTGGATTACCTATTTGCTTATCAATACTTGAGCTTAAAGTGCAAGGGCCAGCTACATCTTACATGCAATTGTGATTAAATCTGAAAAATAGCAAGAGAGGAAACCATGATTACAGCATGTAAAAAGAGGGCATGTAATTACTGGGCTCAATCTTTCTTGACCTGAAGCTTCCCAGGTAGGTTGGATGGGACCATCTGCTTCAACCTATTCAGCAGATGGGACCATCTGCTTCAACACCCAATAGTGTTGGCCCAACCTATTCAAAGACCTAGGGAGAACTACTTATAATCCCACATTTTCAACAGGTTTAGGGAGCTGAAATGAGAGAAATGTGTTTTTCTTGGCAGGGCCAGGGCTTTGGAATAGCTTCCCAAAGGCGAACAGGCTGGCCACTTCCTTGCTGGCTTTTCAGAAAATGTTAAAAACTGGATTACATTACAAGTCTTTTCTTAGGTTTAGGCACAATGACATCTTGTTTTTCATTGTTTTCATTTTTTTCCTTTAGCCTTTATATTCTGTTTCTTAGGTTTTTGTGCTGCAGTTTTGTGTGGCTATTGTAACTGTTACTGCAATTGGTTTTAATTTGACTGGGGAAGTTTTCATTCTTGTTTTACATATACTATAATCCCCCCAAAGTCACTTTGATTGCAGCACAGTAGAGGTTTATAAAATACGTTTATCCTTTTAAGCAGCATGTCACTGTAGCTACTAGTTAAAAATAAAAATCTCAGACACAACTGATCTAGCGTATAGTTTGTGGGGTTGACAAGTCATCTATGAAACCTATTCAGAGCAGAAAGAGAGGCTTATGAAGAAGAGGCTTGAATGTGTGCAACTATTTTAATGGGAAACTATACATATTCAAGCTGTTGCCTCCCCTACTCCTAATCACAGTAATGGAGACTAATGCCAGTTGAGATTTTGGACTAATTAGGGTTTTATGAACCCTGTAATTGCTACTCAAATCTACACCAGAAGGCTTTATTGCAGGGGTCAGGCCAAGCTCTCTACAATGGGGATTCCTTACTATTTTCCAATTTTAGCCTGAATGATTTTTATGACCAAGGAGTAACAGTTACTCAGCTGCTGCTGCTGCTGCTGCTGCTGCTGCTGCTGCTGCTTGTGTTCACTGAATAATTCACCCGAGGGAAGAATGTAGCAATTGCTCCCAGTGGCCTTTTAATCACAACAGCCTCAGAGAGCCTACTTGGTGGTTAGGGGTGAGAGAGTTCCTTAAAAACAGGACTGAACAACTGGTGGTTTTTAATTTCTTTGTAAAATTATTTCCAAGCAAGCAGTACCAACCTCTGACAAGACTAATTTGCTTTTCTCATGGCAATCTGTTGGATGAGGAAAGGTGGGGAAAGGGAGTGTTAGAAAGAGAGAGAAAATCAGACAACAGAGGAAGAGGAGGAGGAGGAAGTAGTAGTAGCCCACTCATTTGATGGCTTTGTCTGCATCTGCCCTGATCATTCAGCCTCCCTGCACAAAGGTTTCCCATCCTGAGGGGATGCTTCCATGTGTAAAAGTTTCAGCATCCTGTAGGATGCATTTTTATTAAAATTGCTCACAAAATGGGAACAGCAAGATCCAAAGTATCTCTTGCCCATCTTGTTCTCATGCTTTTCCTGTGCTCTCTCTCACTCCTTATAGTGAGCAGAATTCCAAATCTGCTACATCATAGAGAAAAATGTTTGATTAAAAAACTGGGCAAAAAACTGGCAGGAAAAGGTTCCTCTCCTGCTTCCTTTGAACTGGCTTTGTTTCCAACAGGGCTCTCCTCCTCCAAATGTTGTGTGGCAAAAAGATGGGGTTCCCACAAAGGGAAGAGAAAGCATTACAAAAGGCAAGCATCACTCTCAGTTCCTCATCCATAGCACTAAACGCTTTGATTCTGGACTCTATCGGATCGTGCTGAGTAATGACTATGGGGAGATCCACTACGACATCCATGTCCGAGTGACAGGTAAAGGATCAGAAGGGGGGATAATTGGGAAGGTGTATCCTGCCCCATCTACTGATTTAGCCAAAGGAGGCAGTGAGGATGCACTGTCCATGTTGGGGGAGATGGGAACAGAATTTCTCACTCAGGAATTCTTCCCCCCCCCGGCAAAAAACCTATGAAATCCATTAATAGGAGCCAAGGCAAAATCATAATATTGCAAATCAGTGTGCACTAAAGGTTAAGGTCCAGGCTGCCTCTGAGAACAACTCAACCCAGGAATTTGAGTATTAGATCCAAGCTCAAAAGTCCTTCTAAGTAAAAATATCCACTCTTGATTGATTTCTTTTTCAAGAATCACAATTTGGGGCGAGAGCAGGGAATATTTTATTTTTAGACTAGACTACAGAAGTTTAAGAAAATCTACACGGTCTCCAAGAAATAATGGCTAGATACTAATGATTAAGCAATAATCCAAAATCTATTGATTATTTTGTTTTTAATCTTTTTTAATCAGTATTTTTCAGCTCTAGCTACTGCTTTGTACTCTTGTGATTTTTATGATACTGAGTAGCAAATACTGAGGTCTACATTTCTGCTCATGAGCCATGGAGCAACAGTACAAAACACCCCCAACATCCCCAAATCGAGGAAGAGCAGTATATGTTACAGTGCCTGTTTTGGATAATTTGCCACTTTGTATGACTTAATATCTCAAAGCCAGGTCATCAAAGATATATTGAAAAAGCCAGGATTGTCTTAAAACTATTGCCAAAATAAGGGACTAACTGATGGATGACTAGAAAGAGAAAAGAAGCTCTGGATCATCTTTTGTATTTCTATTTTAGACTTCCCAAAGCCACCTACTAATCTAAACCTCTATGAAGAAGTGCCAAACACTGTAACACTGAAGTGGGATCATTCTCCAGATGTGCAGGAGGATGCTGATGCCCATTATGTCATTTTAAAACGTGACACCAGCACTGCCACTTGGTTCACGGCAGCAGAAAAAGTGTACAGTAACAAGTACACTGTTACAGGTCTGCTTCCTGGCAGGAAATATTATTTCCGGGTCATTGCCCGCAATGATATTGGTGACAGTGATCCTTTGGATTCCAAAGATTCCTGGCATATCAACAAAGATATAGGTAAGCACGTACATCTACGTAGCCATACTTAGAGCAAAAGAGTTTTTGTGACGGGCTTATGCATTTTGGATTTTTGCCATGGCTTTCCTGCAACTGGAAATGGAGGGACCTGTTGGAGAGCTGACAGTAGAAGTATTATGGATGTACACTGCTGGTTTGAAGTAATATTTTGTTCAGCTTGTAACAGATAAATGTATTATGATGGAATAATCATTTCCCCAAAGGTACTCTCCAGTTGGGTGTGTAAAATGAAAAGAGAATGCGTTGGGAATTTTTTCAAAGAAGGATATTTCAGCCAAATTTTCACCAGTGGGATATACATTTCTTATACATCCATACAAAGGAGTTGAGGGACGTGTATGAATGGCCAGTCTTTCACTGGGCAGTCTGCAGCCTCCCTGGGTTTTCACACTTCAGCTAAATCTGAAGGGAAAACCATAACCAACTGGAAGGAGGTTTTTAGATTAGAAAGCATGAGAGAAACTGCAATGTTATTTTTTAAAAAAACAACAAAGTTTTTTGTTTTTTTTTAATGGGAAGTGGGAGACACTGTCTAGTCCTTGGTGAGATGGATGGCTATACAAGAGAGTCAGTTTGGTGTAGTGGTGAAGGTGCTGCCCTAGAAACCAGGAGACAGTGAGTTCTGTGCCTGCCTTAGGCATGGAAGCCGGCTGGGTGACTTTGAGCCAGTCACTCTCTCTCAGCCCAACCCACTTCACAGGGTGGTTGTTATGGGGAAAATGGGTGGCAGGAGGATTAGGTATGTTTGCTGCCTTGAGTTGATCAAATGTGTGTGTGAGTGTGTGTGTGTATACATACATACATAAGATGGGATATAATCATCATCATCATTTGTTTAAATAAAAAACTTGTCTATGTCATGTTGAACTCCTGGAGGAAAGATGGGATACAAATCTCACAAACCAGGTAATTCTAAAGCAACCTGAAAATAAAGTAGAAAGAAAGGAGCCTGTTTCAGAAGGAAAAAAAAAAACCTTTCAGGAAACGAGGACTGGTTTTAGCAGTGTTTGGCACTCTATAACTGAGACATACACAAATGTGGATATGGCTGATGAAACTAACTCTCTGTTGGGGCCCATAATCAATCTCACTGTTTCGTTAATAGAACTCTTCCATGCCAAGATGAAGGAGTACCGTGAGCAGGACTGGCGCCATGCTCCTCATTTCATAACTCCTCTGAAGAACCACCTAGTGTGCCGAGGCCATGACTGTACCATGAGCTGTGCTTTCTTGGGAAACCCCCGCCCACTGGTTACATTGTACAAGGGCGAAGTCAATATCACAGCCCATTCCAAATTCTGGTACAACTCAACTAGCGGTGTCTGCACGCTGATGATCCCCACGTGTACTGCCAAGGATAGTGGCGAGTACTCTGTATTAATTGAGAACGAGCTTGGGAAACAAAAATGCAGTTGTACCTTGACAGTATATGGTAAGTTGAATCTCCTCTTTGGCACAGATCATCTGAATATTTTGAACCTCGTAGAGTAAACAAAGGAAACCCAGTTTGGTGTAGTGGTTAAGGCAGTGTTGTCCAAACTTGGCCACTTTAAGATGAGTGGA